TCCTAGAACACACAATTCAGGGAAGTCTAGCCTCCTGCCGTGTCAGATTCTGAGGAGAAAGCAGGCACAAGTTTTAATTAACTAAGTGAGGTGAAGAGAGCTTTCTGTCATACAGCATGAGTCTGCTTGCTCTTTTTTCCCTAGCAAGTTATGTTGTCAGTGGAAAAAAAAGTGTAACTCAACATGCAGTTTATCTCACACTGTTAAATTCACACAGGGAAGAACTGACTTGTAGAGTTACACTTCTCCCTGAATTTGGCCACCCTCTGAAACATGTTTAGGGGGGGATATTTTGCTGACTACAAATATGCTGAAAGATGCAAAAGTAATGACTGAAAAAGAATCTTAAAGCTAGCAGCCCTTACCTTCTGATGTTTTTATAGCCCTAAACATGTGCTTGGTGTCATAGCCCTAATCACGTGCACTGTCAATCAAAAAACAATGTATCCCAGTGATACACAGGGGGTTGGAACGTATAGATCTTTGCTCCCTCAGCACAGAAAATAACTGAATGAGTAGAAAGAGTTGTGCTCAAGAAGGGAGAAAATATGCTGATGGCAGGCCTCTGGTTAAATATAAGATCTTTACCAATTTTTAATGTGTTCTAATAGATCACAGCCCTTCATCTGTGACTTTTTAGGAAAAATAAGATGTTTAACATCATCTGTTCTGGATCCTTCACTGTGTCTCTCCTGCCTTTTTCTCATGCAGGCTTTTTATTCCTAGTTCAATTTGTCTCATATTACTCATCCCACCAGGGAAAGACTCTTTGAGCTTCAGGACTCAGTCCCCTCAGCTGCGGTTTCCAGCAGCATTTCTCATGAAACCAGCCTCTTTCAAGTTCTCCTGTCCCACCCCTTTCAGTCCAGCTGCTTGGGCTCCTCAGCTCTTGGGCGTCACCCATACTCACCAGTCCACTGACCCACTATCAGACAGTGCCACTCTTTATTCTCTCAATATTCCCTAGTTTTTCCTTACATCTTTTTTCCTTCTAAATCCCTTCCCACCAATGTAGCCCTTAGTCACTGGTTGTCAGTCACAGTTGTCTTGCTCATACCATCCCAGCCGCCTATTCCAAATACTTGATCCCATCTCGGTCTCCCACTTCATCCCTGTAAAAGTCATTTAAAGTTACTTAAACTACAAGATATGGTAACAGAAGGAAGTCCATCCTTACTGCAATTTACTGACCTGCTAGCACATGTAGACTCACACAAAATCCATAGGCTCACTTTCAAACTTGCAAGAGAAAGCTGCACAGAGCAAAAGGGAACAATGCTGATAATCTGGGCTAGTCAGAATTTGCCAAGTTGATCTTGGCTAGTCAGAACTTGGGTGTAATTTTAAGTTCAGATGCTGGGCTGAAACAGAGAAAAGCTACAGAAAACCAACTCTTGCTGTCACCACAAGGAGGTATGCGGCCTGTGACTGTTGTCTGGGTGGCCCAGTAAGAGTGACATTGTTACTGCTAGTAAGAAATCTAAAGCTAGCCTTGCAAGGCCACAGAACTTGTGGGCTGTTAGGCTTGTTACCAGCTTGTGCAAATTTGCAGGGCAAACTGCAGCTTGGTACCAGGTGTCCTTTGTTATGATGTGGAGATTAAGCGTGGGATAATACCAAAGACCTTGAAAATATGTGCATGGTCTGAAAAGAGAGACCACAAGACTGTAAACATCTCACTGGCAGTCAGCTTCTGGTTATTGAAGAATTATAAGCTTAAGAGCTGGGAACACTGCCACTGCTTTAGACATAACAAGCAGGACAAAGAAGCAGTCAAACAACAGGATAAGGCAAATGATGTGGCCAGGGGAAGTTAACACCCGCCAACATTGCACAGCATATAGTCCGAGAAAAGGAGACCAAGGACTTAAAATCCACTGAGAAACTCAAACATGTTATAAATGGACTAGATTTTGATATTTAAAAGGAATTGCTGCTGTCAAATGGATATCATAACTGGATCATCATGGAATTGTCTTCCTACAAACTGTGTCAAAGCTGCAAGCACATTACTTACTTCAAGGACCGTGGTGTTCCAAGGTCTTGTATCATGCCAGCCAAGCTCCAGGATGGTATAAAAATCTGTTTGTATCAGAGTGCATAAACTACGTGCACTTGTCTCAAGCTCTGTAATTCCTAAATAAAGTCTTACTGCATGTAAATTCAATTTGGCTAGTGTGACAACTATCACACTCTGATCAGCTCTTAAGTGGTCAGGCAATTGGACTGGATGATCGTTGTGGGTCCTTTTCAATTGGAAATGAACTGCTCTGTTCTACTCTATTCAAAGTATCCTTCTCATTATTGTGCACAAATATATCAATAAAATCCTCCATGTGAGATGGCTCTTCCACTGAAGTAAAAGACAAACCTCCAACAGAACCGGGCTTTTAGACATCACACAGAGTTTCACAGAATACAGTTTTGGAATTGGTGTGGCTGCACCCTTATCAGGAATTAAGTGGTAGATAGTGTAAAAATGCCTGAGTTGGAATGGTTCTCTCACTGTTCCACAGTCTCTGTACTTTTGTTGTTTCTTGCTATTGTGCTTTACATTAGAATTATATATGTATAGCTGCATATCCTCTTACCTCCGATTCTACTGTTTTGATACAGGATAAAGAAAAGCACAGGGGCTCAATCTTCTGTCATTTTAGACTACGATAGGCAAAATGGTATTCTGCCATTGTAAAATTATTCCAGAAGTTAATTAATTGTGTTCTGGAGGCATCTTTTTCCTGCTTCTTTACCCAGTCTACAAGAAACTTGCCTGAAGAAATAAGGGTGTGTCTGTTCTGTGGAGCTGGTGGTAAGAATTTGTGTAGAAAGAACTTAGAGCACCCAATGAACTTGGAGGAACAACTTGAGGCTTTTGGCTGCAAGCCGTATTGTTCAGCTGGAAAAATGTCTCATAGGAAAGTATAGTATATTAGCGTATAAACTAAAATGCAGCATAATGTAGCACCTTAGAGGCTTGCTTCAAATATTACAATTAAGAAATATTTTCTTAATGAACTGCTCTTTCAGTCAGGTAACTTTTGGGGGAAACTTCATTATAATTATTCTCAGCATTTATATGCATTCTGTATTAAGGTTTCACTCACAAATTGTTTTGCACAGCCAGTAACAAGTGTGAGGTGTTTTAATAAATGGTTAGTTAATTTTTACAGTCTTAAAATTCAACAGTCTATGGTATGGCGTTCAACCCTACTTAATTTCTGAATTTATATAATTATGGCCTATTCTAGGGTATATTAGTAATACCTGCAACACACTTTTAACTTTTTATTCTTCCTCTAGAAATTGTTTGTAAACATACAAAGTATGTATTACCCATTACACAAAATGTAACCATTTTTCTAGGGTATTTTACTCAGATCTCTTCCTATAACTGTGGTTCAGCACCCCTGAATAAGCTACACCTGCATTTGTATCCACTTGTGACTGTAGTCAATGCAATTGACCAGTAGAAATGGCAAATACAGGTTCGGTTATCCCAAAACTTTCCTGGCTGTGAAATAGCCTCCAAATTGACCTGTTTCTAGAGAACAGATTGGTTTTGTATGGATACACACATTCCTGTTTTTATATTGTCTGGAATATGTAAGCAAAGCAAAAAACGGTATTTATACAGTGTCCTCTTCCTACCATCGCTTACAGGTTACAGTGCTTTATAAGAGACGGCGTCCATTGTGTGTGTCACTTCAGCACCGACGTATCATGGCGTATTGTTCTCCAGGGTCATTTCTGGTCTGAAACTGCGGCAGTTTGTTAGACTGCCTCTCACACAGCACCACACAGCTGAGAGTGTGGGGGCGGCGCTCAGGTCGTGGCCGTTACCGCCATCTCTCGGAAGGATGCAGTTCTCAGGGAACGGCCGG